CATTTGAGAGAGGAGTGGTATCAGTAATGAAGCCGTTGAATACTACAATGTTGTCAGCATCAATGTTGGTATGACGAACTGCTGTGATTGCACTACGCTCACCATAGCTGCTACAGCGACTAGACCAGTAACTACTACTGGAGCCCATAGGGGCACCGCCCAACGCTGAGGGGTAAACTACAGAGCATAGGTTGGACTAGGGCTTACGTTGGTGACCCCAGATGAGGTGATATTGAGCCCGAGCTGTTGGCAGAGCACTATGAATAGGCAGAAGATTAGAACAGCCTGAAGGACCCCCTGGCTCACTGACCTTGCCCGAATTGGCCGATGGAGAACCTTAAGCAGGGGATGGTCGTAGTAACGTAACTATCCACTGCAAAGCGACTACGGCTATAGAGGACCCACCCATCGAGATTCATGTAGCCCGGTGGTACTACCCTCAAGAGCCTCCTTCTCTCCATAATACGAAAGGTCGACGCAAGTGAATCCACGCACACTCTACCTACACTAACAGTCCAAGCCATAGGATAGGACTGAGTAGCCTCACCAGCCCCCAAATGATCCGTCTCGGAGTAGTAGCAATCCGACTTAGAGTCGTCCATATTCAGCACGGATGGTATAGTGAAGGGGCTCCTACCCCACAGTACTATGTCCCCCCCAGGCTACTCCTCAACCACTACCTGTCTTCTCCCACCTCTTCTTTGTCAACTATAATACTGGTGCCACTACCCAAACCCCTCGACTGTAGTATGTCATTACTCAGCTCAACAGCCATTCAACAACTACACGATCACGAGACTCCCACCTCTCAGACCACCACTATCTTTCACGACACCGCGTTGTCGAGGATCGCGCTCGCCATTCTAATCGATATATCACTTTGTGGAGATTATGGAAAGCCCGACTGTGGCGTGCGCTACTATGAGCGCATCTTTTCATAACTGTAACCGACGAGACCTCTGTAACCGTCTCCCGTAGATGTTTGTATATTCACCATTGATTCACTCCATTATTGCTATGTCTGCAACGTCATCCGCGTCGCGTACT